TTCCGAAAACAGGGTATAGTTCTTGAGAAAAGTAGTCACGGCAGGGTATACCCTGCGCCTTTTCGGACGCACCGCGGTGAATTTGGGCGCTGACCAATGATATGAGTGCATTTACTGCTGTTAATGACTGTGTACCCAGGTGCGTCGCTTTTCGACCAGGGTATACCCTGTTGTGTCGTGTTCCCCCAAAAAAAAACAAGAATTGTTTGGCAAATACTGCGAATGAACAACGGTACGTAGAGCTGTGTGCAACAAAGCGCTACATACTAACAGCAAGAATCGCGTCACGGCACCTTCTCGTGGCACTCGTTCATGAGGCTGGTGCCGTAATCGATCCCCGTGGTCGAACCGACGGCTCTCCCCGCCGCGGAGACGACGCCTCCCGTGAAGAAGACTACCGTGGGATTTGTCCCGTCGGGGTCCATCCGGTAGACCCTCCCGTCCCATGTTCCGGTGTACAGGGAGCCATCGTCACCTGCTTCGTTTTCGCAGAGAGAGCCACGCGTGTCGACCAGTTAGAACACAGGCACGCTGCTCAACAGAGGCAGAACCTTTGCCATTCGATTCGAATCAACGTGCATACGCCTGTGCCTTCTTGTTTGCTTGTTGGATACAACAGAGGAAGCACGCGCGGAGCCCTGTGTCGACTGTCTGTCACTGCTTCTCACGCACGGCCGTCCCGGAAGGTCGCCGTGGGAGAGCTAGCGTGTCCCCTTTTCGCCTTTTGGCAGGTGTCGCGCGAAAGCATACCACCGCTGTTCTTCCCGATTGTCAAACTGTACATGGCGACCCACCTTTGGAAGTAGTCCTGGAAACGGCACTACTTCTAGCCATTGCAGTAGGTGGTACATCGCTACACCGAGGCCCGGCCCAAGCACTGCTGTCCACCTGGCGGCCACCCACGGTCGCATTAACGAACATTATCAACGGATTCTAAGCAGCAGCAGCAGCAGCAGCAGAAAATTGGTGACACCAAGCGCGAACAAACCTTCCGCAAACGCCTCGGGGGCTATCACTTGGCCCTCGTGCAGGTGCTCCGTCGCAAGCAAGCGCTCGTTGGGCGACAGTGCGCCCTCCAGTACGGGAAGGTCTGTCGGCTGTTGTAACAGATGCAAAGGGCCGATTGTAATCGATGCCGATGCGGGGGCATAGACGAAGTAACGGGAAGGGGGGGGGGGGGGGGGGGGNGGGGGGGGGGGGGGTCAAGACGTTTGGCATGTGGTGGGAATGTGTTGCCACCACTGCCATCATGTGATGCTCTCATGTAGCAGTGTTCGCGTCATCCGCAAGGTTACAACGGACACCGATAGACGAGCGCCTCTGCCAATGCAGAAACCGGTTTGCCTTTGAAGGTATTCCCTATTCAAACAGAAACGCGGTTCTTCACCACGTTCGTCTTGAGCAATTTCCGTGCTTCTACAACACCGCCAGTGACTGCGCGGTGCAGAGTGAAAGTACAATTTTGTATGGGTATCACGGGCAGAATCTACCCAGGGGTAACGTGCAGTTTGGGTAAAATGGTCAAATCTAGCTGGGTACGGGTGTATTCCCGAATGATCGAACACACCCTTTGAGGATGTACTACCAGACACGTGGGACGACGAAGCACAACATCTCGACAACAACGAACTTAGGTCTAATACCGCACGATTCTCCTTTGGAACGCTCATACACAGGCACAAATGCCCAGTGTGTGTCTAAAAAAGGATGCAAACACACACAAACACTGCTGACAACGATATAAATTATGGTAATTCTTTTGCGGGTGACGGAGACAAAGGAAAGGGACAGGGAAGGAAGGAGGACGAAGACGACGATGGAGGAGGAATACATGGAGGAGTGGACGAGAGCGAAGGGTTTGAGCTACATGGCCTTCCCCAAAACAAAAAACGCAGGGCTCGGGAAGAATTGGCAAGAGATTGTTGTCAAAATGAGATCAGAATGATGGTATCGACAACAAAGGGGACAATGGTGAAAGTACTCCAAAACGAACTCGAGTACAAGGTAATAGCCTTGGTAGACGCGCGCAGTTTTCTTCTGTTGCCACCGTTTCTGGCTTAGGATAGTTTAGCCTTTCCCATGCTGCCCCCTCACGGGGTCCCAGTTCATGGCAGATAGAAGTGTTTTGTGTTTTCAACCGCACTAAGACTGACGTCTTTTCATTGGTCAGCCGGTTAGCGCGGTCGATGCTAATAAAAAAGACACACACAACACAATGTTTTGATACGTTCAATGCCAACACATGCACCGTTCCCGCCGTAGACAGATTCAAGCGCGAAAATTGACCCGGAACTTGCCGGGCGGCACATCGGGTGTGTTGGATAGGGAATTCCTGCGGGAAGATCTGACAATGTTACCCAAACTTCACATTTACTCGGGTGCAGTAGATCTACAGCAGTAAACCTGGAAAGCATACAACCGCACGTTCGACCGGAAGGTAGATTCTGAATGTGTTACCCAAGCTGTTTTTGCCCGACCCGGTAAGATTCTGAAGGCGTTCTCTACCGAAACTTTACCACTCTCAACCCGGGGTATGCCCATACGGTATTGTTCCCGGGTACAACACCTGCTGGATCAACAGCAGCATAGGCATGGGGTGCGGGGTGGCACATCGGTGTTGTACCCGCGTACATACTGTAATTAGATTTGACAGCAGTGTTACCCGAACTGTTACTCGGTCGGGTAGATTCTAAACATCCCATGCAAGCCCAAACTGCACTTCGAGCAGGGTAGATTAGGAACGTGTTACCCAAGCTCTGCTTTTACCCGACCGGGTGGATGATGAACTCGTACACCAGGAAATATTTTACCCGTGGTTGTTATAACCAACGTCGTGGTTGTATAACCATCGTGGTGTGACCATACCCGCCCGCGGGTAAAATACCTGCTGGATCAACAGCAGCCGTAGTAACAACATCACTCGTTCATTGGCGGTGTTTATAGAAAGCATACATGAAAGACTAAGGTGATGTAGAAGCACGGCAATTCTACTGTAGCAGAAACAATTGCTTAGACTAAAGGTATCTCAAGAGATCGCGGCACATACACCCGCGCGATGTGCGGAGCAACTGGACTGGTAGTCTTCAGCAGTAGTCCTTCACATTCAAGCACAAAATACAATATGCACCCGTGAGCACTCACATGTTTCCACACCACAGGATCAAAAGGAGACTCCAGGCGCACGAGACAAGCGCCGGCAATGACCACCATCAAAGCACCCGCCCTTGACGAGTTGAGCAGAGACATATCACAACCAACGCGATCAGTGCGTCTCTCTACGCTCTCTCTGACTCTGTGATGATGAGCGCGAAAAGCGGGAACAAGACTAAAAGTGGTTCGGGAGGCGTGTTTTTTCGGGCTGTTTTTCGAACCGGCTCTCTCGCTGGTGCGACTTTTGTTTTTTCGATCTTTCAAGTTTTGGAAAGATCTGGTTGTGAATGTACATCAAACAACCAACGGTTCCCGGTTACACGGCACGAGGCTAGGAAGAAGCCTATGCAGCGGAGAAAGAAGAAGGCTAAGGAGCCCGACGACGATGGGCGAGTCGTCAACGCCTTCACGTGGGGGACCGGCGATGGCGGCCAGCTGGGCTACGGCGTCGACATTCCGATCGCTCAGAATGTTCCTCGACCAGCGTTCCCGATCGGGGCGCTGGAGGGCCGACATGTTGTCCGCGCGGCCGCAGGAGGGCGGCACTCGCTTTTCCTGCTCGAATGCGGCGAGGTTTTGGCCTGTGGCGCGTGGGACGACGGGCAGCTCGGGTGCATGGATCGTCCGGTGGTACTTGTTCCGGGCTCCACTGAGGAAATGGTCCCGGTGCCTAAGTCTCTCGTTCCGCGAGGGAGCGAGACTTTCCCCGTTCCTGTGCAGGTGCCGCCCAAGCTGGTAGTGAAAGAGCTAGCCGCGGGCTTCGCGTCGAGCTTTCTGGTGACGGACTTTGGTGAGGTGTGTGTGTGTGTGCGTCGACTCTTCTACAGTTAGTGAACCATTTATTGCACGACTTGGCTTGCAGGGTTACCGTTATCTTATACCCCTTGATGTTTGCCTTCGACCCACCGATACTATTCGCATATGCTTGCTGTACGGTAACCTTCGTCGCATTTGCAGTCGACCCCTCAACGGTGGACATCTTGTACAGTACACGCGGTTCGTTTGTCCGTTCTCTTCAGGTTTGGTCGTGGGGTAGCGGCAAATTTGGGTGTCTTGGCTTGGGCGACGACGAGAGCCGGTGGTTTCCTAGCCGCATCCCCCTGTTCGCGGAGAACCAACCAACCACGGCCGAGACGGTCAGCGCCGGCAAGTGGCACGTGCTTTGCCTCACACAGAAGACGCACGAGGTATATGCATGGGGCCGCAACAACTGGGGTCAGGTAAGGGCCAAACGTTTGGGCCGCCATGTCCATGTGACACCCAAGACGCTAGATATATATATATGTGTGCTGAGATTGGCGGGCACAGGACTAGACTACATTGGAGACACGTGAATGTGCGTCAACAATTGACTATGAAACCAGTCTCTTTCCCTTATGCAGGGGTTGACCTCTCAGCGAAGAGATGATTCCACACGATAAATATAGAAGTCTGACCACATCCTGTGCGACAGCAATATGACGTGAAAGACACCTGCTGCATGGATTGCAAACATTTTGGAGACTCGTTCGCATGTCCCGGTGGGTACAGGTCCGTCTATTCCCTGTCAGGGTGGAATACCTCGCTTGATCATGAGTCTCCCGCACAAGAACTATCTGTAATAATACACCCCCCATTCTCGCTGCCATCGGGATTGGGTTTTCGTCGCTTGGCAACGACGTTGTAAAACAAGCCAATTCACTTCGTAAACTCTCCAACCAGGTTTCCGTTTTTTTTTTCAACTCTGTCTTTTTGTTGGCGGGAACCATGATGGTGGTCGAGTAGATCATGTTGTGTGGGGTGGAGAACCCTCACTCCGCGCAAGGGGAATGATCGCGCCACGTTGTGTTAAAATGGCCAAACACCCTGGAGGCAGTTGCACGGGGCTTACAACTGTCTCTGGAAGTGAAAGCACCAGAAAATAAATTAAGTCATACGCAGCTGTC